TAAATACAATAAATGCACTCTAATTTTGTGTTTTAAAGGTACAAATTAGAATTTTTTTAAAATTAATAATTGGTTCATTTTAACTATTGATTTTATTTTAACTTGCAATTTTAATTAATGTTGTTTTTTTCTGTAACCTAGTATTATGAATGACTATTTAATAAAGGGTTGGTTGGGAGTACTTTTTTGTAATGTATATAAAAAAATATAAAAACTAACATTAATTTTAGTTTATTGTTAAATAAAAAAATTTAATTGAACGGTGAATAAATTAAAAATTAATTTTTATTTTTTAATACAAATTGATAATGAAAAAAATATATTTATTACCTGAAAGTGGCCTTTTTTTTATATATTAAATTATATAATAGAAAACAATTTTTTCTTATCTCTTAATTTATTTTACTTACATATTATACAATTCAAATTTAAGATATTATACTTTCAAGATAAGAAAATCACTATTAACCCACTTAGGTTGTTGGTTCTTTAATAAAAATTACATGACATAAGAAGTCAATTTGTGTTTATATTGATAATGATATACAATTATAATGCGATATTGTAAGGTTAAGATACCCTGAGTGAAACTTTTGTGAATAATATTAAAGAACATCAGTTGTTCCCCATTTTATTCTAACCCCATCGAATATGAAATGTGTTATTCTTTTGGTATAATGAGAGCAACATCGAATGCCATCTTGGCGAGATCTGCTTTCATCACGGTAATCCCTTTCCAAAGATGATACGGCTTTTGTTATGGGTTGATAGATAGCCTGCCCCCGTAGCGTGGCTTCCAAAAATTAACGAGCCAACACCTAGCACCAGCTCGCCCTGCTTAATTGTGTTCCAAGGGCTCTTGACGAGTCATCCACGACTTACACCCTTTTTTTTTTATATTGACTGCCCTTTAATTTTATTGGCAGGTTAACTTACACCCTTTTTTTATCTATTGACTGCCCTTCAATTATATTGGCAGGTTAGAATGTCAGCTGTGTCCATGGTATAACAAGAGCAGCAAGAAATGCAATCTTGGCCGGACCTGAAACCAATATAAGTCCCTTACAAGAAATAATTCGGCTAAAACCAACTTTTAGCCCCTCATCTTACAGGTTTTATCCCCTAACCTTATAATATGATATTTTTAACCATTTACCTTACAAAGTTGATAAGTTTAACTCTTCACCTTACAAAGTTGGTAAGTTTTAGCTCACATTTTATATTATAACACTTTTAGCCCTTTATTTATACGAATTGAAGAAAATAACCCCTATTTAACATCAGGTTATAATGTTCTATTAGTTCTGTTAGTTAATTGTCAGTTTTGTTAGCTGACTATTAGTTCTGTTAGTTGACTGTTAACATCCATTAATAAAACTAACAAATAAAATTGAATTTAAATTTCGTGTTTTTTATAACGAAATGCTAACAAGTGTTAACAATCAACAATCAGAACTAACAAAACGTTATAACTTGTTATAACGTTAACAATCAACGATCAGAACTAACAAAACGTTGTAACTTGTTATAACTTGATATTAAGAGAAAGCTATTTTTTTTAATTCGTATCGATGAAAGATTAAAAATATCATAATATAAAATAAAAAATTAAAATCTACTAACTTTATAAAATAATGAGTCAAAACTTCTCTACTTTGTAAGATAAAAAACTTCTCAATTTTATAAGACAAAAAATTAAAATTATCATTAAAATAAAAAACTAAAACTGTCATATTATGATATAATATTATGATATAAGATGAAATGAGAACCTAAAACCTAGCAACTTCATATGGTGAGGGACTAAATGTTGGTTTTTGCCAAATAATTCAACTTGGGTTGGTAAACTCGCTAGACTGATAAAAGACCTCTCTCTCTCTCTATCCCCCTTTTCTCTCCCTTCTCTCCTGCTTCTGCCCCCTTCTCCGGCGTTGCGTTTGGTTTTGCTCGGAAGCCTTTGAGCTTCCGAGGTTTTGATGCTTGAGTCACC